CGCTGTCTACGTGCGAGGCGGAGTACGTGGCGGCAGCCACAACGGCATGCCAGGCGGTTTGGCTGCGTCGGTTGCTGGGCGAACTGACCGGCAAGGAAGCTCGTCCACCAGCTCTGATGGTGAACAACCAGCCTGCCATTGCCCTTGCAAAAAATCCAGTCCTCCATGACCGGAGCAAGCATATCGATACTCGTTTTCACTTCATCCGTGATTGTATCGATGAAGGACATATTGTTTTAGAGTTTGTCGAATCCGAACGGCAGCTCGCAGACATCCTTACCAAGCCACTCGGCCGTCTTCGGTTCATGGAGCTGAGGATCAAGATTGGAATGGTGGGAAACAAGCAAGAGCAGCAGGATTAGGGGAAGAATTGTAAGATATAATCCTGTAGTTTCCTTGTTAGTAAAGTGCAACTTCCTTGCACTTTCATTACACTACTTTCATACACTTTCATTGCACTTTCATGGCACTTTCATAGCAGCCATTTAGGCTGATTTTTCAGCTCAAGAAATTTCTAGGAAAGCCACTAGAATAGTTGTTTTTAGTTCTTATAAATAGGGATGCAGTTTTTCATTTGTAAACACACATAAAAACTGAATACTCAATACATTGAGTTTCACAATCTTCTTCTTCCATCCTAAAAGTGTTCGTTTGTGCTGGAAGCATTTTTGCTTACCTGAACAGTGAACGAGCAGGGACTAACAATTAAGACTCACTCACAAGAAGAATTATGATAGGTTTCTTGTTTTACAGACACCAGTAACGATGTGCTGCTTTGTATAGAGGGAAATATGCCTCGTAAGAGAGTTGCACGGTTGTTGAATGAGAATGATAGAAATGCAATTGATCAAATTAGCTTATCCCCTATGGGCTACTGTAAATTCATAGTCGGACAGTAAGACCAATTGCATGGAATGAGATAGCACAGTAGCATTCCTTAAACAAAAATTGCAATAATTTTATTATTTGTTTAGATAGATGTTAAAATAATCTGATAAGGACAACAAACTTCGATTAGATTAAGTTGTTAAACAAGTACAAAACCTCCAAAAGGCCTGGCCATCACAAGTACAAAACATCCAAAAGGCCTAGCCATCATATAAAACAGACCACAATACAGCCACTAGGAAAAAGAAAAAGAAAAAAAGAGAATCATCATGATTCATTTTATAAATCCAATTGAGACACACTACATTTTGACACATTCGACTTATGCTGAAGTGCTGCACATGCTTTAACCCTTTTATCATTCAAAGTTTCCTTCCTCTACATTAACACATATCAATATATATCACACTTACTATTTCACTACCTGCAACTTCTAGAAAATTCATAATAGGATCATGCTCAAGTGTTGAGATAATTCATCATATTATGAGCAATGAGGTATTTCCAATAGCCAAGAAGGAATAGGTTCAATGTGAGCTCCGTCTGAATCACAGTGAAAAAATACCATGAGTTGAGTTCAACAATTTATGGAGAGCTTAAAGGGTGTAGTAAGGACTTGTGACACCAGAATGCAAATACAATATGACACCAGAAAAAAATTATTGTGACACCAAGATGCAAATGCAATATTACTTTGATGCCAAGATGCCAATGCAACATGTTAACATAAAATAAATTAGTGTTCAACCCAAAGTCGCCTCAATCGAGGAATATCTGCACAAATCTGTAGGGCATTTTGGTCAGACAATTTCACATTTACTTAGCTTCGCACAAAATAGCCAAGCAGAATTCCTAGTACTCATTAAATTGAGTGGCTGATTGCGGCCGAGGATGGGCTCGCTGGCATCTTAGGTACCAATTACATGATCTAGTCTGATTATATTTCCTATAATCCTTGGTCTAGCAAACAAAATGAGCATTGCTAGTAGTACCATACTGGCATAAATGAGGAACCCTTTCCGAAACCCCGCTCTCACTAGCTACTAGTCAATATTTTCACTGCTATTCCGACATTATGCTAAACGCACCAGTCGTTTTCCCTTCTACTCCTTGCCTACCTCATGTGAATGATTTTATTCCATTCTTCTTTGAGAGAAGACGAATAAACAAAAGGAAGATGCCAAGATTGATACCACACACAGCACACTGATTAGATGGTGGTCACCATTCCAACATTTGTTTAAGAACTAAAACACGATAATGGTTCTCTAGGGGTAACACGGGGAAAGAAAGAAAGAAAAAGAAGGAAAAAAAATACAATTGCTAAAACCAAGAAGCAAGCTCACCTCCCACTCTGATGTTGTCAGAGGAATAGTTGGATCAAGCATAGTAGTCAAAACATCTACGAAAGGTACTCCAGCAACAGCAGCCTTAAACAAATCAGGCCGCATGTTAATAACAGCACCAATTAGCAAACCACCAGCACTTCTCCCCTCGATGCAAAGCTTTTCCGTGGAACAATACTTCTTTCCTATCAAATATTCAGAGCAGGCAATAAAATCTGTAAATGTATTTTTTTTCTTCAGCAGCTTTCCATTTTCATACCATGGTCTCCCCATTTCACCACCTCCACGAATGTGAGCAACTGCGAAAATGAAACCCCTGTCTAACAAAGACAATCTTGATGCCTTGAAATATGGATCTACACATATCTGTGAAAAAGATCAGCATATAACAACACTTTCCATCAAAGATATGGGTGTCCAGAATATGTGATGAAAATAATAGAAACAACAATATTAACCATATATGACTTACCATGCAGAAAAGATAGAAAAACGTAACTTCTTTAGAGCTAGTTAAATATCATTGCTAGCAGTACGCTAAATTTACTCGATTCTCATAACCTTTAGTTAATATCATGGCACATTACCTCATATGAACCATAACCGTAAAGGAGTAGTGGATCTGAACCATCAAGCTTCACTAAATCTTTTCTATATACAACAGAAATGGGTAATTGAGTGCCATCTGTAGCAGTAGCCCACAACCGTTGGGTTATGTAATTAGCAGAATCAAAGCCTCCCAATACCTGAAACAGTAGAAACTAGTTAAATGCAACGTTCACATTTTCCTATCTCAGGTTCAAAAGATTGTAACTTACCGCATCAATCTTCTTGAGAACTAAGGTCCCAGAATTCATATCATAATCATATACAGAAGAAGGTGTCCTCATTGAGCTATAACAAAATCTCAAAATACTGGAATAGAATTGCGATTCTGATGAATCCACTGAATATACCGGATCAATGAAATCCACAGTCCGACCACCTCGAAGTGTGTCAAGTGGCTCTCCAATAGGTGGAAGGCAATATATTGATATCTTGGGCAAACCATTTTCTCGTTCATAAACCACAAGATGATCGCTAAACAGTTGCATTTCCTGAATACATACACTGGTCAAAGACAAACACATGTCAATTACACATCAACCACAGAACTTAACTGATATGTAGGAAATTTGGATGGAAAAGGTAATATCCATAGATAAACTAGAACACAGGTGAGAACCTTATTCTCTTTCTATGAAAATATTATAAAAATCAAAGATTTGTTACATCTCTTTCAGGCTAAATATATAACTAATATGCAGATCAGCCCTAAATATGATATGGACCATGCTATAAGAACATAATAGATGACATAGAGTTTGACATAATATACACATGACAATATTTGGTGGTTTTACACATCACTTTGAAAATCAACAAATCTTACTCTTACACATCAATTATGCCAACCTTTATGCCAAAATATTATGTTAAAGTAGCATTATCCATCATATGAACTCAAAGAACAAAATTTTGGAGTTCAAAGTACATTTTATTATACAGGAAAACTCAAAGATTTTAAGGGAAATAATTCAAAAAGAAAACTACCCTTCAGGTTTGATCAAGTTAACAAAAAAACATATAAAACAAAAATCTGACAGAATTATAAATACACCTTTAAGGAATTATATTGACACCTCTCTGAGATTTGAATTCTTAAAATAACTCATTGAGGGAGCATTGCTAATATATATATATATTATATATATATATATATATATATATATATATAAAGGAGTAATTAGTAAAGCAGATAACTGGGTATAAATTAGACTAAACTGTTAACTATTATAGGCTCAGCTCATATGCACTTAGGCCCTAAGTCTATATATATGGGCATCCTCACTTGTAACGTGGTATTAAAAAGCCTTACACATAAATATTTATTTTTTTCCCGATCTCACCTCTCACATCAGTCAAACCGCTGCCTCGACAGACTTTTCGGCCAAGTTTCACCATTAGAAGCCGCGCGTGTGAGCTACACGCGCCGCAAGAAAATTCTGCCGGCAGTCCCACGCGCCGCCGGCGCATGAGAGCACGTGCTTTGCTGGAATTTTTTTCCGGCGAACACCCGTGAGCTCGAAATTCTGTCCCCTTCCTGCCAGTATTTTTAGTTTTCTGTTTTGGGAGGTTTTGAAGTTCGTTTTGCTCTTTTTCAGATGCATTATATGTTGGGGTTAGGGTTCGTATACTCTAATTAGTTCCGGCCGTCGTCAATTTCTGTTTTTGTCATCTCTCATCTGTTGTGTGCTCCTACGCTGCCCATCACAGCATCTTTATTCATATTCGTCGCGCCTCGTCGCTACCTGTTTGTCAAATCATGTCGCGACTTCATGCAATTGCTATTAATATTACTCTTGATGTTCAAAATTATCGTGAGTGGGCTTTTTTGGTTGAAACTGTGTTGAGGGGTTATGGTTTGGCTTTCCCCTTGACTGATGATGGACCCGAAAGGAGAGCCGATAATAGGTGAAATCAGAATATGGCAGATTAATGATGGGAAAGTGATGGTTGCCATCGTCAACAGTGTCAAGCAATCATAGATCTATGATTATGAGCCTTTCTTCTTTTCGGACAACCAATGGAATGTGTTCCTATTTGCAACAACGCTATGTTATGTTCAGGATAGTGATGCTCTTACACACTATTATGCAACATACATATCCACGTGATTGAACCGAACACCATGTCCATTGATGAGTACTACTCGGCTTTTGATCGTTTGATGGGACCATTGATCTCTATGGTACCTCAGTGCTCGGCGGAGGAGTGTTCAGTGCATAACTTTGTTGAGAAGTTCTTCATTTATCGCTTTGTCATGGGAGTCAGATCAGAATTTGAGTACATTCGTACACGGTTGTTGAATAACTCCTCTACTCTGACATGGCATTGGCATTATCTCATTTGATTGCTGAAGCGACTCGTCTCCATTCTCTGTCAGTTGCTCCGCCGTCGCTATTACAGAGTGTTCTGGCAGCTCCTCAAAGGACATCTTCTCAACGGCTTAGTGCACCTAGAGGTGACTCTCCAGAACCTTGTAAGAATTGCGGGAAGACCGATCATAGTGCCGAGAATTGTTTTACTCAGCAGAAAGGTTGCTCGGTACCGTGCAGGTCGTGATACTCGGGCTCGTGGTACGACTTCTACTACAAAGGGGTCTGTTTCTGTCGTTGTTGCCTCTCTTGTCCATGCACCTCAGTCTTGGGTCCTCGATTTTGGAGCATCTTTTCATGTGACATCTAATGAGTGCTAGTTGGTTGCCTGCAAGGCGATCCCCGATGGTGCTTCTATTCAGATAGTGGATGGCACTTCTTGTCATATCCCACATTGGGTTCTCAATGCAATTCACGTTTTTCAGTGCCTAATATCTCATATGTTCCTAAGTTATCTATGAATCTTCTTTCAGTTGGTAAGTTGGTAAGGTCACTGATCAAAATTGTTTTGTTGGATTTGATGACTCATCTTGTTTTATTCAGAATCGTCGAAGCGGGGCTGAGATTGGGACTCACCATCGCTATAAAGGTTCTCCCAGTCTCTACATCTTAGACACTTAGCATTTTCCCTCTTCCACTAGTTCTACCGCTCGTGTGTCATCCGTTGCCTCGTCTTCCACCTTATCTTTCGCCAAGTGGCATCATCGTCTTGGTCATTTGAGTGAGTCTCGTTTGTCTACTTTGATTAGTACTAGTTGTTTAGGTCGTACATCTATCGAATATAGTTTTCATTGTAAGGGTTGCAAGCTCGGAAAACAGCTGCAACTCCCATATACTACTAGTATTTCTCAGTCTTCTAGACATTTTGATCTCATTGGGTCCGTCCCCTTTTCCTATAAAAGGTGACAATAAATATTATGTTCTTTTTATTATTGATGATCATTCTCGATCTACTTGGATTTATTTTATGAAACAACGTTCTCAGTTGTGTTCCATTCATAAAGATTTTACTTGTATGATTCATAGTCAGTTTTCTACTCCTATTCGAGTTTTTCGTTTTGATTCTAGTGGTGAGTAATTATCTAAAAATTGTCGTCAGATTTTTACCTCTGAGGGCACTCTCTTGTCATGGTGCACATGCTCAGAAAGAAAGAAAACACCGCCATCTCATTGAGACTGCTAGAACCCTTCTCATTGCCTCATCGGTTCCTTCTCATTTTTGGGGAGAAGCTGTGTCTATAACTGTTTATCTTATTAACCGACATCCATCTTCTAAATTGTGGTAAGGTTCTTTTTGGTATTCACCATAGCTATGATCATCTTCAAGTTTTCGGATGTACATGTTATGTATTGCTTGCTCCTCGTGAGCGCACTGACTGCTCAGTCGGTTGAGTGCGTCTTTTTGGGGTATAGTTCTGAGGGTTATCGTTGTTATGATTCTTCTGCTCGTCGCATGCGTATATCTCGTGATGTAACTTTTATCGACGATCGTCCTTTCTTTTATAACCCTTCCACTCATCCCACATCTTCTTCATAGTCTACGCCATTCTAATGTCTTCCTCCTATTTCCTTTTTTGATGATGATGTCCTTGTCTCTTCTCCATCTTCCACTCATGATGAGCCTGCACCACCCATTTCTAATGAGCCTCCACCACATAAACAACCCATCACACAAGTCTATACTCGTTGTTCCAAAGGTCACACAACGCTTCCGCCTCATTATATAGAATGGCCCTGATGCTCCCGTCCTAGATTATGTTGATTCTGATGTGTCACATGCCATTCCTGAAGAGTTTAAGGTTGGTCAGAGATATAACTTACGTGACCGTGCTACTATTGAGCCTCCTGATAAGTTGGGTTTTCCACGTGCGGATGCTATTATTGATGAGCCCTCAACCTATCAGGAAGCTTCAAGTAATCCGGAGTGGCAACTGACTATGTCAGATGAACTTGCTGCACTTGATCGTACTAGCACTTAGGATCTTGTTCTGTTACCATCGCATGCCATGCCTATCACGTGCAAATGGGTCTTTAAGATTAAGACCAAGTCGGATGGCTCCATTGAGAGATATAAAGATCGTCTTGCTGCTAGAGTCTTTCAGCAGACTCAGGGGCGAGATTATGATGAAACTTTTACTCTCGTTGCTCACATGACGACTGTTCGTACTTTAATTGCAGTGGCTGCTACTCGTTCCTGGACCATATCCCAGATAGATGTGAAGAATGCTTTCTTCATGGTGATCTGCATGGCGAAGTTTATATGCAGCCACCACCGGGTGTTGATGCCCCCTCTGGACATGTTTGTCGTCTTCGTCGCGCATTATATTGTCTCAAACAGACTCCTGGTGCTTGGTTTGAGCGTTTTGTTTCTACAATACGGGCTGCTAGTTTCTCCCCTAGTGATCATGATCCTGCTTTGTTTATTTATCTCTCCACGTGGGCGTACTCTACTTCTTCTATATGTTGATTACGATAGATGATACAAAACATAATTCTCATGTCAAGAAGCAATTTGGTCAACAATTTCAGATGTCCGATTTGGGTCCTTTTAGCTACTTTTTGGGCATTGAGATAATGCATTCTGCCTCGGGCTATTACCTTTCTCAGTCCAAATAAATAACCTTCTTGTTCGTTCTCGTATTACTAATAACCGGACAGCGGTTACACCTATAGATTTTCACTTACAGCTTTCTCCTACTGATGCCTCTTGAGGATCTATCGCCATATTGTAGGTAGTCTCGTTTACCTTACTGTTACCAGGCCTGCGTGATATATTGAGTCAGTTTGTGAGTGCTCCTACTTCGGTTCATTTTGAGCATCTGCTTCGTGTGCAACGATACTTAAGGGGAGTATCATCTCAGTGTTTATTATATGCTCGTGATAGTCCACTTCAGCTTCATGCTTACTCGGATTCTACTTTGGCAAGTAATCCGACTTATCGTCGTTCTGTCACTGGTTATTGCATATTTCTTGATTCTTCTCTCCTTACATGGAAATCCAAGAAGCAGGCAGTTGTATCTCGATCTAGCACAGAGGCAGAACTTCGAGCACTTGCTACTACCACCTCAGAAATTATATGGCTTCGATGGTTAGCCGATTTTGGTATTCCATGTGATGATCCTATGCCTCTTCTTTGTGATAATACTGGAGCAATTCAAATTGCCAATGATCGAGTAAAGCATGAACTTACAATACACATTGGTCTTGATGCTTCCTTTACCCGATCCACTGTCATAAAAAACAATTGTTCTTTAGTATGTGCCGTCAGAACTGCAAGTGGCTGATTTTTTTCACCAAAAGCACAAAGCACAAACCAGAGAGCAACATCGGCTTCACTTGCAGGGGCGGATCTAGGAAAAAAATTATTCAACTGTGATAGTTTTGATCTCATATCATTCATATATTTAAATGAGCCAAGCTAGAACGACTAGTCAAACTTTCTTATTAAACAAATCGAGTAAATTGAAACTTACACAAGCTGAATTTGAGCTCATATTTTTTTTATTTATTTAATAGTCAAGTTAAGCTGACTCATTTATTAAACTATCACAAGCTTAAATGACATATTCAACTTGACTCGGCACGAATAACATTTCGAGGGGAACTATATAATTTTTAGTATCTCTCTCACTCACTCACACACACATACATATAGGCGTAACATTTCATTTTAAGACAAGATAAAATAATTAATAAGTTGCATAACTTCTTAATTTTGGTAGTTTAAATGCTCAACATTCTTTACACTCACGAAATTCATTGAAGGTTGACTCGATGTTAAAACAAATGTTATAATTGGTAGGTTGTCTAATTGTTAAACACATATTTTTCTGCAAAAAATGCATCGATATACTATCAAATGTTATACTTTTATTTATAATGCACTATAAAGTATGACATTTAAGTATGAAAGTATAATTATATTTGTTGAAATAGTTTGATTGTCTAACTATCAAGTAGACAAGAGACCTAACGCGGTATTAATAGTTCTAGCAGTTCTCTTTTGAACCATTGAATTGCATATGATGCATGTGCTTCTATTCCAAATTTGCTCTTTAATTTTTTAATTGTACGTAAGTTCAAACACAAAATGTTATAAGATAATGAAGAAAGAGTACTTACAAAATATGATGTAGTTAAAACTAATTAGTAAATACAGTGACACGATAATTTGTAATACTTATGGGAATGAGTATAAATTGAATATGTTTTATATATGTTTAATATATATATATATATATATATATATATATATATATATATAAGACTTGGAATATACATACATACATATATGTTAAGCAAAATCAAAAGTTTGGGGGGACAATGGCCCCCCCTTGGCATAATGTAGATCCGCCTCTATCACTTGCTCAAACTCAATGCTTCGGATCCTCCACCTCCACCTTGAGTTTGAAGGGGGTGTTAACTATTATTATAGGCCAGCGCATATATACTTTGGCCGTAAGTTTATATATATGGGCATCCTCACTCACTTGTGATTGATTTATTCATCCAGAAACCCTAAGGGCTAAGGTTTGTAACATAAACCACAATCGTCCAATTAACCTCATATTCATCAAGTAGAATTTGCTTATTGGTTTTTTTTTTTTT